GGAAAGCAGCCTGTGCCATCACTGGGATTATTTTTTGGATCCCCCTCCCCAGTTCTTTTTCTGTTTTCCTCCTCTTTAGTCTTTTCCTTTCTTTCTTTTGCTGCCTGCTGGACTTACAGAACAGAAAAGAAGGCATTAGGTGGTAGTGGGGAGAGAAACATCACCATATTCTAGTAGTTTTGATTGGAGGCGGGCTTTGATTGTATTTTTGCTTTGCTTGCTTGCTTTTGTTTGATTTTGTGAGGGAGTTTTAATTTTTCTATTTTCTGTTTTACTATTTTCTCCTTATATGGGGTGCTTTCCCTGTTTGATTATTTTAGCAAAATAAAAAATAACAAAATAAAATTTGTTATTCTATTAAATTTCTGTATATTTGTACTGTATAATATATATATTGTTTCGAGGACAGTTTTGTTTGCTTTTATGAGGGTGTGTGAGCTGGGGGAGTGGACTTGGTGACCCTGCTAATATGTCACTAGGCTGTGTGGGTACTGCACAAGTCTGATGAGGACTTTTCTTCCTCATGAACTGTTGCCTGCTTTTGGAGTAGATTGATTTTTCTCTGTTGCTTTGTTTCTATATATTTTTTTTTGAATTTTTATATATTCTTTAGCGCCTTTTTTGAACTAGTGCCAGAAAACACAAATGGGGAAAATGAAATGAAATTACCCAAAAGAGAAAGAGCCTTTTCTGTAAAATAAAAGGACCAGAACATGAAAAACATGAAAATGAAAGCGAATTTCCATAAAAGAATCTGGAATGAAACAAATACGATTTTTTTTTCCCAAACCATATACGTCTCAAATCATGTATATTCATTTGCTTTGGAGTTTAGAGAGTTACTTTTAAGAAATATGAACAGAATCCTTTTGTAGTTGTGTAAGGTTTGCATAATGTGCTGTGGCTAACTGGAATTAATTGATGAGGTGCTGAGGCGTGTTTCGGTCACATGCCTGGTCATGGGTCCAATTGTGCAACTGAATTGTGCCCTGGCACCTCAACAACCACCTGGAACTAGCCTAACAACACCAGTAGGATTCTAGCCAATGAATATAAGGACATGCTAAAGGCATTAATATCTCAGATGTAGTAGAAGGATGCTCTAGCAGTTCTAGAATATATATCCCTTGCTTTAACTAGTTATCTAATGGAGACACATTAACACCTAATCCCTTCCCACAGCTTCCCATCCCTGCTCTAGGCAGGACATTCCCTTTCATGAGGGACTAGGGGTCAAACTAGATCGGTGGTTCCCAATCGTGTGTACCTCAGGTATTCTTGGATTTGCAACTCCTAGAAGCAGTGCTGACTGGGTTTTCTGGGAGTTGCAATCCAAGAACACCTGGGCTACCCAACGTTAGAAACCATGGAACTAGGTCAGACCTGGGCAAAGTGCAGCCCGAGGGCCACATACGGCCCACGAGCCGCTCTTGTCCGTCCGTCCAGTCACCACATACGGCCCACGAGCCGCTCTTGTCCATCCGTCCGGTTGTCGCTCCAGCCCAGTGTTCAAGCACTTGTTCAAGCCCAAGACAGACTGGCTTTCTCTCACTGAACAAGTTGAACGTCAAAACCATTTATAGTTTTTTGTCTAAAGTTGATCAGTTGCTTATCTTTTATTTTTAAGTAAAGTTAGTTCAGCCCCCGAACAAAGTTCAGATTTTTCATGTGGCCCCCCTATAGAAATTAATTGCCCACCCCTGAACTAGGTGATAAGCAGGATACTTTATTTTAAGAAGAAGTGCCTTCAAGTAGCAAAAAGATGTTTCCTTCTCACAGCATGTGACAATCCTCAACTACATTCATAATTGGAAGTTGTGATACCTGAAGCTTTTACGAGCAAAGGATCCAGCACTGGTACTCTTTGTGACTCTCAGTGCAGGGGGAGAAGGGGTTGTCCAAAGGACTTGTGCAGCAAGAGGTTTGCATAGGCTGTGAAATCTATACGCACCCAAGGGCTGGCATGTGTACATGGTACATGGTTTAGTATGTAACTTGAGTGACAAGCATTTTCTAAAAGCTTATAGTAAGATAGTAACTGCCTGCCATTAACTTGATTTTGACTTCTTACAACCCTTTCCAGGGTTTTCTGGGTATCAAATACTTGTAAGTGGTTTATCACTCCCTTCTGCAAGTGTGCAGTTTTCCCAAGGCAACACAAGATGGCTCTTCTTGTCAGGCTTGAAACATGGCTATCAGGAAGCTTAACCGATCAGAGTGGAGAAGAGTTACTTTTTGGTGGGGACTATAACTCCTGTAACTAAGATCATGGCCACTGCTCTCATCACCTCCTGGCAAATAGAAGGGGAAGATATGGAGGCAGTGACAGATTTTACTTTCTTGGGCTCCATGATCACTGCAGATGGTGACAACAGCCACGGAATTAAAAGACGCCTAGTTCTTGGGAGGAAAGCCGAGACAGCATCTTAAAAAGCAGAGACATCACCTTGCCGACAAAGGTCCACATAGTCAAAGCTATGGCTTTTCCAGTAGCAATATATGGAAGTGAGAAGTGGACCATAAAGAAGGCTGACCGCTGAAGAATTGATGCTTTTGAATTGTGGTGTTGGAGGAGACTCTTGAGAGTCCCCTGGACTGCAAGGAGAACAAACCTATCAATTCTAAAGGAAAGCAACCCTGAGTGCTGACTGGACGGACAGATCCTGAAGCTGAGGCTCCAATACTTCTCATGAGAAGAGAAGACTCCCTGGAAAAGGCCCTGATGTTGGGAAAGTGTGAGGGCAAGAGGAGAAGGGGACGACAGAGGACGAGATGATTGGACAGTGTCATTGAAGCTACCTGCATGAATTTGACCCTACTCCGGGAGGCAGTGGAAGACAGGAGAGCCTGGCATGCTCTGGTCCATGGGGTCACAAAGAGTCGGACATGACAGCAACTAAACAGCAACAACAAATAACTTCTGTACTAGCGGGGATATTGAGAAATTGATTTAACAAAATGTACAATCTCAAGATAGGCATCTGACTCATTCCTTGTAAGGGGAAAGCAGCAAAGTCACATTGTTGGTGCCTCACATAATTGGCAAGATGCCTTAACAGAGGTGAAAAACCTAAACAGCCTTTTTGATCCTTATCCTTTCACCTTCTGGGTGTGCTAATTGAGACGACACTGCAGCACCTGACAGTCCTGGAAATGCCTGTGCTCCCGTTTCCTCGCAAAGTTTATGTTGTTTGATGAAATATATAGGTCGTTTGTTCCTTCCACTGCCAATCTGTCACTTTCCCCTCAGAGTGCTAAATCTAGTTTTCAAAATTAAAAAGAGCTTTATTGCTCTTAGCCATGATCTTTTATGATGGAACGTGGCCAAGGAAAACTGAGTGATGCATCACCCCAGCATTTCTTTTTTGCATAGATAACTAAAACTGAGGGCATTTGTGCAAATGAGTGCAAAAAGTTGGAAAGGGTGGTGGGGGTGGTGGGAATGGATCGATCTGAGTCCAGAAACAATCTTAATGCTTAGGAAATGCAGCTGAAACTGGAAATAAATCCTTTTGTATAGGGAAGGTGGATTATAGGATTAGCTTCACATGTTTTGGATCTGAAACAGTTTTTGTTTTATATCATTACAAGCCTTTTATAGACTAATTGAGTAGTGAGGGAAGAGGGATAGCTGATTCCTCTCCCCACCCTTAAACCACGATTAACCTAGTTTTGTCTCCGAAACAATGGGCCAAAAATCATAGTCTTGGTTGTATTTGTGGAATGACTTTCGGCTGCATTGGCCCCTGTGAGGCCAATGAAGTTGACTGAGAATGAGGTGGTAGGAGGAAGAAATGGCACGCTGGTCCAGATGAATGCATACACAAGTCAAGGACATTTTTGAAGCTTCAAATCAGTAAGAAACCCTCTTTATATGAACTGAAATTAATTGCCCTTGCCATGATCTTGTACTTCTCAGAGAAATATTCAGACCAATACTTCTCAGACAAATCAGGAAAGGAGATAAAATGACTCCCTGGCATGTAGTAAACCCTAAACATTTATCAAACTTCTGATAGGTTGCCATACATAGCAATTAGGTTACAGTTGGCTTTGTATTGTAGAGCAGTGGTTCTTAACCTTGGGTTGCTCAAGTGTTTTTGGACTGCAACTCCCAGAAGCTTTCACCACCAGCTCTGCTGGCTGGGGTTTCTGGGAGTTGCAGTTCAAAAACACCTGAGTAACTCAAGGTTAAGAACCACTGTTGTAGAGGTCTAAAGTCAGGACTAGAGATGGGCACGAACTGCCAATTTGGCAATTTGTCCAGTTCGTTTACTAGCCAAACAGGTGTTTGTCTCTTCCCAGCCCTGCCTCCTCTGGCAGGTGCCCACTCAGAGACAGTGCCCAGAGGAGGCAGGGCAGGGAAGCCAGGGTGCTGCCTCTGAGTGGGCACCTGCTGGAAGAGGTGAGGCTAGGAAGCACCAAACACCTGTTCGGCTGGTAAATGAACTGACACGAACCACTAAATTGGTGGTTTGTCAGTCCATTCCATAGGCCACATATCTGAAGACCAGTTCAGTCTATATGTTCAAAGGTCTTTTGCCCAGTACCTAAAAGCTATACCTCGTTAACAGCCAGGACAACCTATTCTGGCCCTCCTGACTGCTCTCTCTCTCTCTCTCTCTCTCTCTCTCTCTCTCTCTCTCTCTCTCACTCACTCACTCACTCACTCGCACACACACACGCGTGCGCGCGCGCGCACACACACACACACACAGAGACACACACACACTGTGTTGTTTGGGGTTCTGTTGGTAAATTACCACATAGAATGGTGCTCGGGAGCGAATGGAAGGGTGAGCAGGGCCGGCAGCGGTGGGGGACGTGTGAGTGGACAGTCTGGCCCCAGGGGCCAGACCCTTGTTCACTCCAGCTATGCGGGGATATTCATATTTGTACACAAATATGAATACCTTGATCTCTAATGGAGACTATGGCTATTCATTTTTTGTTATTGGGGCAAACCAAAACTTCCTTGCACCATTTTTTAAATGGCTTACCTGCTTGTGAGCATGATCATAGGAATTGATGTGGTTGTCAAACTCGTGGTGTTTGTGATACTGCTTGTCGCATAATTCACAGTAGAAGTTAGACTTCACATCCTCCAAAGCCCTTGCAGCAGCTTTCTCCTTTTCAGCAAAGTCCTGTAAGAGAAGAAGGCGAGGATTACATCTTGGTGACCAATGACATTGCTGATGTTTTTGCCTCAGCAGGCTAAGCAATGAAAGCAGACATTGGCAGCTGCCTCATAAAACGGCTTTTGGATCACAACATGCTGCCCATGGTTAGTTATTCAATTTTAAAATTATTTTTGTTTATCTCCCAGAGAGAAGCTTGTGTGGAGGTGTTTTTTTGGGGGGGATGTGTGTCAGGCTTAGGTATAATACAACTTGACTTCCCAGGTGGAAGAGGGCGACAGTGCCATTTTGCAGAGGCCCCAAAAACCTTGGGTCAGTCCAAGCACCCAGGGAACAGCATCCAGACAAGCAAGCCTGAGGAACAGCTGAATGGCTTAGTCTAGAAACAGACATTAGAGACAGCCCATATTTAGAGCTGAAAGCACATTTACATTGCAGAAAGGTGACTGAGGTCTTTTTTGGCATCTGTGAAATCAGACATCAAAGAGATCTCACTCATAAGTCCTAAAGACCAATCATCAAGAAAAGTAAGCTACAAGATTGCATCCTCGTAGTTTGCATCCTCTCACAAGAGAGAGAAACCTGTGACAATCAGATCCTCAGTGGAGCATTTTCTCCTTTACATTTTCTGGTATGAATTACTCTGGGCGGAAAAAAACCCTACACTGCTGATGTGAAAATTCTTTTCAGGTGGGAATGTCTTCTATCTAAAGCAACTGATGTGAGCTTTTACTGGACATGGGTCTTTGCAGCCAGATTAAAGGAACATTTACTCTCTGGACTAATTAGTCCTCTAGCCTTACTTAAACAGTGCACTCAACAATGCAAAAGTGCAAGAACAGAGAAAGGGAAACATTATAATGTCAGGATGTTACAGTACAATGCTTATGGCCTCTAATCCCCTTATCAGCACACAGTACAGTTAAGAGCAGTGAAAGGAACCAGTCTGTGTGGGCCTCCTGGGAGAGAATAAGCAAACCCTCTTGGGAATGCCAGCAGCTCTGTTAGTCTTCCCAACAAGCATTTTACATCTCTTTGCTTACAGCACTGATACAAGGAAAGCTGATTAAAAACAACAACATCACAAAGGGATTGCTGGACACACCAATAAAAGTGTGGAGCTCTGCAAGGCATGCAATTAAGAGACTGATTCCTTGTTGCAGTCATAGCAATACTACCCTAAGATACGTGGCCATCATAAGAATCAGCAAAATGATCAGCAGTGTCATTAAAAAAATGCATACATACGGTTCAGAAAACAAAGAGCCATGACTAGAGATGGGCACGAACCTCTGGAGGTTCGTGCAGGATTGTACGCGCAGCATCAGAGGTGCCACATATTCCTTTTTCCTGGGTCCCTGGCTGGATCCACCACCACCACCAGTGGGCACGTGCGCCTCTATTCCTCCTCCTCCTCCTCGGGTGTTTGACCAGGCTCTGGCAGAAGCACAGGCTTCCCTGCCCAGCCTCCTTGGCTGATCGCCCACTCAGACAAGGAGGTACGACAGGCAAACTCATACTCCTGCAGGGACTGGTTCAACAGCCAAAGAGGAGAGGAGTGCACTCTGGCTGGTGAGTGGGTCATTGGCTGGGGAGATGGGGGAAGGTTCATTCCCATCTCTATAGACACAATCCTAAACATACTGTATCTACCTGGATGTAAATTCCAGTATATTCATTGAAACTAGTTTTTTTGGTAGATAAGGATAAGATTTTACTGGTTTAGTCCAAGATTTTACTGGTTTTGCTAAATCAAAGAGTCCTGCACTATAGACTAGTGGGTCCTAGTTTTACCATGTGACTGGCTGTTTAACCTTGACTAGAAGACATACTGTAAGACATAAGACATAAGAAATTTATTTGTCATTGCGCTCACAAGTGGGTGCAATGAAATGTGGTGCTCTTCCCCAAGGTAAAACTGGACAACACTACAAAAAAAAGTTAAAATATACACAACTTTCACCATCCAAATATAGATACCCCGTTTTCTCTCAGCAATTAAAATTCCACCAAAAACCTATGGCCCCGCATTTAAACTCAATACTGCACTTGGGTAAAAACTGTTCTTGAATCTGCTTGTCCTTGCTTTCAATACCCTGAATCTCCTTCCTGATGGTAATAGTTTAAAGAGCTGATATCCCGGATGAGAGGAGTCTTTCAGTATGTTAGATATCTTCCTCTTACATCTGTTCTTATACAATTCTTCCAAAGAGGGGAGTGAACAGCCAATGATGTTTTGGGCCGTCTTAATCACCCTTTGAATTGCCTTTTTCTCTGCCACTGTGCAGCTCGTGAACCATACACAGAGACAGTAGGATAATATGCTCTCAATCGAACTCCGATAGAAGGTGATTAACAAACTCTCAGTCAATTGTTGCTTTCTAAGAATCCTTAGAAAATACAACCGTTGTTGTGCCTTCCTGATTAACGCAGCGGTGTTTGCACTCCAAGTCAGGTCATTTGTTATGATAGTCCCAAGAAACTTACATTCAACCACCTGTTCCACACAAACTCCATCTATATACAGTGGCTGAATGTCTGCTCTTTTTTTCCTATAGTCCACTATGAATTCCTTGGTTTTTTGGATGTTAAATAAAAGATTGTTTTTTTTGCACCAGCGGGATAGCTGTAATACCTCGTCCCGATACGCAGACTCATCATCCCCAGAGATAAGTCCTACTAGTGTAGTATCGTCTGCAAATTTGATAATCCTATTACTGGGATGGTTATTGGTGCAATCCGATGAATAAATGGAGAACAGTAGTGGACTAAGGACACAGCCTTGTGGAGTGCCAGTGCTGAGTATCTTGTCAGTAGAGATGTAGTCATTCAGTTTAACCCTTTGTGGACGATTTGTTAAAAAATCCAAAATCCACAGACAGATAGAATCAAGAACATCTGGGGACTCAAGTTTGAGAACCACTGGTCTAGTCAAGGTTAAACAGCCAGTCACATGGTAAAACTAGGACCCACTAGTCTATAGTGCAGGACTCTTTGATTTAGCAAGAATGATGACTTGCGCTACCACCCTCAGCTCAGCCATCCCTGTCTCCCTATAAGCTTAGTTGCATTCCTCACAATAGATGGAAGGAGACGGAGGGATTTCCCTTGAAATAATACAGTATATTGTTCCAATATGTATTTCAGTATAGGCAATATTCACTGGAAAAGACTAGAGATGGGGGGTATTCATATTCACATACAAATACAAATATCCCCGCACAAGTGGAAATAACGAGGGTCCAGCCCCATGGGGCCAGACTGTCCACTCACAATTTCACCGCTGCCACTGGCTCTGCAGCAGCTTCCTATCGCGCTGTTCTCTGCAATGGATTAGCCACTCTCTGACCTAGCAGAGAGGCTTGCCATCCTGCCTTCTGTCAGGACTGGGAAATCGACTGCGGACAACAGCGCGATAGGAAGGCACCGTGGATCTGGGAACAGCAGCAAAATTGTGAGTGGACAGTCCAACCCTTGTTATTTCCATCTGTGCAGAGATATTCATATACTAATACAAATACCCCCATCTCTGGAAAAGACAATAATGTTGGAAAAAGTGGAAGGCAGTAGGAAAAGAGGAATTTATTATTTATTATTTATTTATTTATTTATTTTATTTTGGAAGACCAAATATGATATGGACTGACTCCATGAAGAAAGCCACAACCTTGAGTTTTCAGGAGCTGGGCAGGGCTGTTGAGGACAGTAAATTTTTCATTCCCTATGATATAATTCATTCATAGTGTGGCTGTTAATTCAGAGGCAACCTGATGGCATGGGCATGTAACAACAACATATTGCAAATTATTCCCATTGTAATGCCAGCCATTATAAACCAGCTTAGTCCGGAATAAACCATTAGGATCCATTAGTTCACACTAGTTCTAGTAGAAAAGAAAAGTGCAACAAATGCTTGTCTGAAGAAGTGGATGTGTTTCGTGAAAGCTAACATTAAAATACAACATTTAGTCTTTAAGGTGCCACAATGTTTTTGTTTATTTTTTTTTCATGTAAAATACAACAGCTAGTCTTTAAGGTGCCCAAATGTTTTTGTTTATTTTTTTTCCATGTTCATTATGGAAAAAAGAGGTAGCTATGCTAGCACAGACTAACATAGCTACCTCTTCTAAAACTACAGATGATTTGTTGATGTGGATTAACATAGCTGCTTCTAATTCTTTTTTTCTCTTTCTCTGGAACGGTCAGCAGCACCTTCATTTCAAAACTGACCATTAGATCACTAAAGCCAGCACCTTGATTTGGGTTTGGAAATGGAAGGTAAATCAGTTCCATACTCTTGGCTTTGGTTAGTACCATGCCTGCTATATTTTGTCTTAATTGTAGTTCTCGATCTGTTTTCAAGGACAGCCACACACATGGTACATGGCAGTAATCCACACACAACGTCACCAGACCACAGAAGCCTGTGGCCCAGTTATCTCTGTCCAGGAGATGCCATAACTGGCAAAGCAAGCTTAACTGATAGAAGGCGCTTTGTGTCACCATGCCAACATGGGCATGAAAGAGCCAAATCAACTGACATCTCTAGACTATGACACTATTTCAGTGACAAGCAAATAACTTTTTTGCGTTCTGCACAGAGCACATGCAATTTTTATCGTTCCATTCATGCTCCTTTTAGGCAAAGCTTGGAAAAATTAGTTATTTTGCATGACAACATGCCATAATCCTTAACCAACATGGCCACATTGGCTGCAATCAGAATTCTGAGAGCTGTAGTCTATAGCAGCAACTTGCCCAATCTCCACTTTTATGATTTTGTGTCTTTTAGCAATTTTCTTTTGAACCTACATTTTACTTATTTTATTCTTGGGAATATGAATTTTGATTGAGGAGTAGCGTACAAAATATTTGTAATGAATAATCCAACATAATCCTATTTTAAAGGACCACTTTCACATAACTCCAACCAAGACTAGCTCCTGTCTTATGGTAATTGAGTATCCTTCTTTTGTCCCTGTTTTCTGTCTTCGGGGGAAGCCTTG